CTCTGGCACTTCTGGGGGAAAGGGAAGTCCCTCCCCTGCGCTGTGCCTACTGTCAAGACGTTGAGAACTCTGCCCACAAAGTGGAGTGCCAACTTTGCGTTGTCTGCCACTGTGTCCACTAAATAGCCTAAAGTCATACAGGGCAGCTCCGGAGTGACAATGCTTGTGAGGTGCACAATGGCATTTCTAAGATGGTATTGGAATCAAGGATACTGCTGAATTTAGGGGAATGCAGCCAGGAATGCGTTCAGTGACTTGGTGAATTAGATTAGTGTCGGGTGAGTGGGGCAGCACAGTTAATGAGATAGGTTTGGGCAATAATGTGGAAAAAATTCACTGGACCTCGCAGAGAGAAACGCTTCATGAAAATTGGTGAAATTCAAATAGCCAAAATATGGTCAGCTTCAGTCCCAGGTTTCTCTTACCTTGTATATTTGTGATGTGTGTTTTGAACTACCATTTGGGAGCGGCGTGGTGGCTCAGTGGTTAGCACTGTTGCCTCAGTGACAGGGACCTAGGCTCGATTCCACCCTCGGGTGACTGTGTCTGTGTGGAGTTTGCACATTCTCCCTGTGCCTGTGTGTGTTTCCTCCGGGTGCTCTGGTTTCCTCCTACAGTCCAGAAATATGTAGGTTGTGTGGATTGGCCATACTAAATTGCCCATACTGTGCAGGGATGTGCAGGCGAGGTGGGTTAGCCGTGGGAAATGCAGGGTTACAAGGATAGGGTTGGGGAGTGCGAGTCTGGGTAGGACCTTCTTCAGAGGGTCGACGTGGACTTGATGGGCCAAATGGCCTGTTTCCGCATTGTAGGGATTCTATGATGAAACCCAGAGCTTCACTGAAAAACCTTAACATTTGAGTTTGTGGGTCTTTTCAGCAGTGTCATTGCTTTAAGCAAACTAAGGTTTTTTTTTCTTATAATTGCTAGCATGAATTTGCCTACAGATCTCAGGCTGACATTTATGCAGCTATTTATCTGTATATTTAAAAAAAATCTGCATGTTTCTGATGAGATCACTCTCAAACCTATTTCCGAGTTCTTCTGTTCTAATGTTTATGACTTCCGTAAATGTTTGTACTTGTATAAAGTTGTAATATGTTTGTAAACTACCAATTATTTTATTAATAGAAAGCAGAAAGTGTCAAGATCCAATGCTCTTACAGTAATGAACCCACCTGAAATGCTATCATGATATAAAAATGAAAATTTTTGAAACTATAATTTCGCTTGTGCATGCACTAGATGTCAGAACATGCTGTTATCAGTTTTTTTTTAGAAATTGTTATGTTGTACTCATTACAACAAAAGTTAAATGAAATTGTTATTGTTCCGAGAATTAAAGAGCCTGGAAGAGTTAAACATAATTTTGTCGTAATGTGATGTGCAAGCCATGCTACTAAATTTACATGACAGAAGTCATACTGTCATGTGGATTCAAAGGCCGCTCAGGGAGAAAGCTTTGAGCTGCTCACGGTGTTGATGTTTCTTTACATTGTGTATTTATGTGATCTTGCCTGGATGGTAACTGTTTTTTTTCAGTTTGCTTACAACTTCTTTATTGAAAATTGTTGTTACTTGGCTTGATTTATTCAATATATCTATTTTATAGCATGTACCAAGAATGATAGTTAGGAAAAAATGTTTACTTTGGATTTTCACAACAAAATATACATTGGATGACTTCGAGTAATTATGTTTTACTGTTGAATTTAATGTACTTTTCACATATCTAATGTCAGTCCTGGAAATAATTCCCAAATAATCTAAAATAAAAGCTTTAATTATATTATTAAAACAGAATGAAATTGTAGTAGTGAATTTAAAAATACTTTTCAGAGTCTATATATAAAATTGCATTTTTATCAATTCACTTCGCTTGTAATGTGATTAAAGGACTTCTTTAAAGTTTTTTTTTGCTTTCATTTTGTGGAGCGACCATAAATCTTGCTGTAGTTATTGTTTACTGACAATTTAAAAAAAAAAAATTAAGTCCATTGAAAATTCTCACATATGGTGTTCTTGGCATTTGATACAATCGGCTGTCAAAATCAGACAAATGACAGCTCAGAAAGGTCAAGTAGGTCAGAGTTCCAGGAGGACAAAAGCCGATAACAACGTGAAACTTGGAAAGACACCTTATCGTATTGGTCTAAAGCACAGCAAGACTTTATAATTTTATATGGGAAATCAACTCAGTTTTAATGTGCCAGTTGCCCAATTGCTATATAATAGTTCAGTAATGTCTATCTAGTTCAATGCCCATTCTTTTTGTCGCATGTGCATCAAACTGCTTTTCACTAAAATTCACCTTCCCTTAAATCCTGCCATGGCTGAGTGTTTTAATTTTTTATAGTCAAAATCATCAGAAAACATCCTCTTATTGCCTATGTGAATGAGGTGCTGTTACTTCCAGGGCGAACAAAATCATGATGTTTATAATATTTCAGAAATGTTTCAGGCACTTCATATTTTTATGACGAGCAATTGCAAGCTTTTGTTATGCTTTGTTTCATCATATATTATCAACACAGAGACACACAGAATGGGGTGGAATCATACTTGGCCATGGGGCGTGGGCTGGTAACATATTGGGTTGTTTCCACGATGCACCCGGACTTCTGGGGAGGTTTCTTACAGTGGGAATGGCTTTAACATGCCTGCCTTAGATGAGAGGTGAGTGGAATCTAATAAATTAAAGGCTGATTATGATCATTTTCCATGGACTTTTGCCAGTTGTGGAGCTGCCCCTTGTAAGAATAAGGCGGCCGTTGGCTGCAAAAAAGCAGCCTCCACGTAGGTTACGTGGCCCGAGGGGAAGTGGGGTTGCGCATATGCAGGGCTGTTCCAGTGCTTTCAATGGTAGGATTTTTCTTCTTTGGATGTTTTGCCTGCTTGGTACTGCCAAAAAAAAATTGGTAGGATTGTAGAGGCTGCAAAAGTTTCTGGCCCTCTGATTAGGCTGACAGTCTGGGAGGCCTGCCCAACTTCCTTAACTGGCTAGCTGCCACACCTTGCTTGCTCCTGATAATATTGAGGAAGAATTTCTGCCTTCCATCCGTATGCTGGCCATTGGAAAAACATCCCAATATTGACAATATTGAAGATTGCCAGAGAGTTTGTTTGCATATAGGTGCACATTCTTGTGTGAAATAATATCTGCAACAATGCCGCTACATAAATAGAAGCTGAGTGCTGGGAACAGTCGTGTAGTGGTAACATTACTGGACTATGCATCTCGACTCTCGGCGATGATCAAGAAGCTACTGGACTTGTCGCAAAATCCCATCTGGTTTGCTGATGTCCTTTAGGAATGAAATCTGTTGTTCTCACTGTGTCTTGTGCACATTTGATTCCAATTCCGCAGCAATAAGGTTGATTCTTAACGAACATCTAAAATAACTGAGTAAGCGACTCTGTGTCAAATAGTAAAGGAAAGTTGACGAATAATAAAATCAGGTGAATGACCAGGTATCGAGCTAAACACCAAACATTGTCTCCAGATCCTATGATGTCTAATGGAATCAGCTCAAACATGGGCAAGGAAGCCTCTTGCATATTACCACCTCTCGCTGTCCCTCAGTTGATGAAACACTGCTGTTTCATACTGAAGACCACTTTAATATGGCACTTGGGGCATCAAGGACACACAATATTTCTACATAGCCAAACATGATTAGTTTGGAAGCACCACTACTGCTCGAAGTTGGCAAAGTTCTGAAATGCATATATCCTTGGCTAGGCCTGGGGAAGGTGTTGAACAAATGAACAAGGAAAACCTTATGTGACCTAGTCCTCACCATCTACCTATTCCAATGTATTTGCCCATAAAAGTAGTACTGGGAGTGACCACTGCATTCTACAACAAATAACTACCCTGTTGACTCTCCAAAGGCAATCCACAGTTTAGAAGTATTTAGATGTGAAGGCATACAAGGCTATGAGTCAAGTGCTGGACAAAGGGATTGGATTAGCTAGGTGACTGTTTCTGAACGTTGCGGGTGCGATGGCCCATAGGCCCCTTGTCTATGCTACAGATCTCTGTGACCCTAATGTTCAGAAGATTGACACCATCCAGATCTGTACCACATTCACCACCTTAAATATTTGCTTTTTCCACACTGGCGCAGTGTGGCTGCAGTGTGTACCATTTACTCGATGCATTGTGGCAAGTTGTCAAGGCTCTTTCGACAGGGCCTTCCACATCTGCATCCTCTAGCTCCCAGAGGATCAAAGACAGCAAGCAATAATCAGGAAACATCATGGGAACGACATCACCTGCAAGTTCCTTTCCAAACCTTGCACCATCCTGACTTAGAATTATATTGTCAGTGCTTCAGGGTTGCTCACTCGAATTCCTGTAGATTCCTTCCTAACAATATTGAGAGTATACTTGCATTGTGTTTACTTTAGTGGTTGAGAAAGTGGCTGACCACCACCCTTGCATGGGCAATTAGGAATGCATGTTAAATGCTCACCTTGCCACAAACACCCACAGCTGATGAACAAATAAAAAAAAACTGGTTTTTAGAACTACTGCAGTAAAATGTGTATTGTTTTTGAAGGGTGTTGCAATTAAAATGCACATACTGCAAAATTCCAACTTAAATTACACACACAGATACTTGTTGTTCTGTTTTTTGAACGAGTGAAGGAACAGAATTTGAGTCAAAATTTTGACTGATTTTAATAGAAAACTGTTTTTGTACGATGTATTTAAGGTTCCACAATATTATCTTTATTTGCATATTACATATTTTTGAAAATCCAAATGAACTATTTTTATTGAATATTCTTCAATTTAGTCATCTTGAGAGGTATAATTGAGATATTAATTACTCCGTGTAGTCAGTTATCAATGATATAGCACTGTTATCATTTTGATATTTTCTTTCTCAAACCTGTTGTTCAGTTTTTCGTATGTATTACTAATAAATGCTTATTTTCTTAATATTTCCACACCACAGTTATTCATATTATAGTATATTCTGCTTCATCAGCAGGAGCCTCAGGAGGAGACCAGGAGTATGATACCAAGGACGGACAACTGTTGGAAGACAGACACAGCATGACCAGTCAGGAAGAGAGAAACGAAGATGATGAAGACATGGAAGATGAATCAATTTACACCTGTGATAATTGTCAGCAGGACTTTGATTCACTGGCTGACTTGACAGAACATAGGGCACATCGCTGTCCTGGAG